GAAAACAGGGCGACATGCTCTTAACTGAATCGCCATCTTTACAGCCAGCCCCTACTTTTAAAAAGGCTTGTTATGTTATGTTATGTTATGTTATGTTATGTTATGTTATGTTATGTTATGTTATGTTATGTTGTTATGTTATGTTATGTTATTAACTTTGGAGTTTTATTCAGTGGGTCTCTGTGTCTAGAAGAAGGTTTTGGGTCTTGGTGGTGGTGATGCGTGGCTTGTGGCGGCACGACAACACGCAGTGGGGCAACAGGAATTTGACTGATCTTGGAGTTGTGGAACGGCTTGCTAGCGGGTCAGTGCAGCACAGCCAGGCATTCAAGTTGTTCACACATGGTGGTAACTTCTCAAACACCTGCCCACAGGACACTCCCTCCCCCATGACGCCTTCATCTTCTTTAACGACGCCTGATGCCGGGTGAGGTCACCACATAGCCAGGTGCAGTGATGTACATTCAGTACAGTCATGGCGTGTGGCACTTTGGGGTGGGCAAATAGCGCCCCACCACCTTGTACTCCTGAAATGTGCCCAAGACTTTTCCTGGCAGCCATCCTCTTATGCCACCATTCACAAAAGGTTTCTTAAAAACTTTTAAACACATTTTAAAATTTGGGGTATGAGTATTTGCACCTCAGTACAGGTGGCCACCAAGGCTAGAGGTATGAGATCCCCCCCTGGAGCTGCCTGACATGGGTGCTGGGGACAGACTCGGGTCCTCTTGGAAGAGCAGTAAATGCTGTCCACCACTGAGCCGTCTGTCTCCTGCATTATTTCTCGTATGTAAAAACAGTTCTTCTACAAATACAACTTTTCACAGAAAGCCTAGAAAATTTAGTCAACTATTCAGAGACGTACACATTTGCTTCTTCAGTCTCCATGTCTTAAGGATTTATTTTATTTTGTTTTTCTTTTGCCTTTTAGACTTGTGAGTGGAAAGAACTGAGGATTGAACCCAGGCCCCCCTATAAGTGCTCTAACAATGAGCCATACCCCTGGTCTTTTTTAAATTGTTTTTTAAAAAATGATTCGTTTATGTGTTCGCCTGCATGTGTGTATAATATGCACCACGTGTGTGGCTGGCGCTCAACAAGTCCAAAGACGGTTGTCAGATCCCCTGGAGCTTGTTATAGTTGTGAGCTGTGGTGTTGGGATCTGAATCCAGGTCCCCTGCAAGAACAGCAAATGCTCTTAACCGCAGGGTCATTTCTCCAGCCCCTTATTCTTTCTCTTGAGACCAAGTCTCACTAAACTTACAAAGCTGACCTCAAATTCTTAACCTTTCTGCCTCTGCTTCCAGAGTAGCTAGTATTACAGGTGTACCTATAATCTTTATACACACACACACATGCATGCACACACACGCAAAGTTTTTTTTTTTATAATAGTCTTTAATTAAAAACTTTTTTGAGATTTATTATGTGTAGTAGTGTCTTGCCTGCATATGTACCACATGCATGACTGGTTCCTGCAGAGATCAGCAATCATAGGATCCCCTGGAACTGGAGATTGCATGGTCTCCAGCCATCATTTGGGTGTTGAGAACCCAGGTCCTCTGCAAGAGCCACAAGTGCTCTTAACCACTGAGCCATCTCTCTAGATCCTTTACAGTAATTAAATATTTATTTTAGATTTGTTTTATGTATATGAAATAATACTTGAGTGTATATGTGTTCACTGTGTGAGTACATTGCCCACAAGGCCAGAGAAGGCCTTGGATACCCTGAAACTGGAGTTACGTGTGCTTGTGAACTGCCAGTTGATGCTGGGATTCCAACCTGGGTCCTCTGAAGAGCAGCCACTGCTCTTAACCACAGAGCCACCTCTTCAGTACAGTTTCCACATTTTTTTATTGATCTGATGCTTTTTCTGAAGGATAGTTCTTTGGTAAAGGACCTACTTTTGTTTTTAAAAAGTAAAAGCCCTTTTCTAAATGCAAAGTACAAGATCACTAGGTATCTTTCTAGATGTCATAACAGTGTCAAGTTGTCATACTAGATTTAAATCCTTACTTTCAGTTTGCATGTTTTTTTTAATATTTATTTTTCACTTTGTGTGTGTGTGTGTTTGTGTTTGTGTCTGTTTAAGAGATGGAGGGAGGGAGAGAAAAAGAGAAAGAGAGAAAACCAGCATAGGGCATCAGTTTCCCTGGAATTACATGTGGTTCTGAACCTCCCTTCCTGGGTGCCAGGAGTATACTCTGGAAGAGCAGCCAGAGCTCCTGACCTCTGTCTGAGCCATCTCCAGCCTTACTTTGTACTAGTCCATCCTGTTCTGTAATGGTGGACTCAGAGTGCATTATCTTAAGCAGTTGATGATTTGGTTCCAGGACTTCTCTTAGTTTTAATAAACTAAGGACTCCAAGAGACATTAGCAAGAGGGTATAGTGGGATATACCTTTAATCCAGGAAATACTCAGTAGAATAAGATAGGACATCAAGTTTGAAGTCAGCCTGAGCTAAGTAACTAGGCCCCACAATGTCAAATGAAGAGCTTTCATAGTTTTCATAGGTTATATCTAATACTATTTAATTTAGAAATTAACTTTTAGTCACTTAAATTATTTTATGTAATCATTAATTATGTTGTTCTGGAAAATTATTTTTTAAAAAAAGATCAATGGGTGCTGGAGAGATGGCTCAGAAATTAAGAGTACACGATATTCTTAGGAGGCCCTGAGTTTCCGCACTGACGTCAGGCAGCTCACAACTGACCAGCTCCAGGAGGATCTGTGTCCTCTGACCTCCAAGGGCACCTGCACTCACAGGCACATATTGCCACCACACACACAAGTATACATACTTTAAAATAAAATCTTAAAAGTAGTAGTTAGAGGCCAGTGAGATGGCTCAGCACTTGCTGCCAGGCCTGGGAACCTGGTCAATACACAGAACCAACATGGTGGAAAGAGAGAGCCAACTCCCAAAAGCTGTACATGCGCATACACACAAGTTAATGGAAGAATGATAGTGATTTAAAATATTTGCAGATTTTTAATGTTGGGCTTGAATGATGACACTGAATTTTCATATTCATTCTGCATTTAGTTTGTTATGCTTTGTTATTTCGGTTGCAAACTGTGAAGATATGGATAATAGAAAAAGGGAAGAATGATTGAACAGTTTATTCAGATCATTGAAGATAGTTTTCTTTGCTATACCAAAACTGAACAGGTAAAAGGTACATTATAGTGTAAAATTTGAAACAATTTCAGTGAACATTTGTACTTTGTTACATTAAAATCTGTTGGTTCAGTGTGGGTGCAGTGGTGCATGCCTGTAGTCTCGGCCCTCAGGGAGACAGAGGCAGGTGGGTCTCTGTGAGTTTGAGGCCAGCCTGGTCTACAAAGCAAGTCCAGGAAAGCTAGGGTTACGCAGAGGAACCCTGTCTCAAAAAAACCAAAAGGAAAAAAGAGAAAAAGGAAGGAAAAGAAAAGAAATCTCTTAGTTCAGTCAGGTGTCATGGTAACACTTTTAACCCCAGCTCTTGGGAAGCTGAGACAGGTATCTGTGAGTTTGAGTCCAGCCTTGTCCATATTGAGTTCCAAGCTAGTCAGGAGTACATTAGACCCTGTCTCAAAACAAAACAAAAACTCCTACTAGTTTTATATTGTACTTTGGGTCTTTTACCTCAATGATTTTGTATGCCTGCACTGGCCATTTAAAATATTGTTTCAGTGAGATCTTTCATATGTTATGCATTCTTTTGTAGCTATTCTTTAAAGTAAAAGATCTGCTTACATCTGCTTCCCTACTCTTGGAATTAAAAGTGCACACCACTATGTCTGGCTAGATATTCCTTTCTTTTTAAGATATTTATTATGTAGACAGCATTCTGCCTACAGATACACCTGCTCTCCAGAGAACACTAGATCCCATTATAGATGGTTGTGCTGGGAGTTGAACTCAGGACCTTTAGAAGAGCAGCCAGTGTTCTTAACCTCTGAGCCATCTCTCCAGCCCTGGCTAGATAGTCTTTTAAATCGCCTTTCTCAGAAATATATATATATTAATTGGGAATAAAGTAGATTCAAAGAGAATGACAGGTTTTCCAGAATTTCAATAGTACTTGAAAGATCAAATTGTGTCATTGATAACAAATCATGTTTTTCTTGGAATAGAAGCTCATTCCTGAGAGATCCTTACCACCTGTTCACATTTGAACAGCTGCAGGGAGGCCCATTTTCTCATGACTGATTCTCCCATCTTGCCACCAAATGACCATCCTTAGTGCTTCTCTCCAGGCGCCTTCACTGTCCTACATGCGGATGTATCTCACTCGTTTCTATTCTTTTCTTATTGCAGAGTATTAAAGAAACACAGACTCAAGGCTAAAATTTAGGAAAATTGATAGTTTTTGCTGATTTATTAAGGACATTGCATAAAACTTTATTCTTTTTTTTTTTTTTTTAAAGTCACCAATGTATGGCAGTGAAGTCCCCTGTAGCTGAGTGTAGTTTTGTGCAGTGTTTGTATAATGCCAGATTTTTTTTTTCTTGTTATTGCTTTTGCGCCTTAAATGTAACGAGAAATCATGGTGGTATTATTAGGACATTACTATAGGGGTCACAGGACCCCTAAAACAATCTCATGTTTATAGAGCTAGAAAAGTGATTTGATCAGTACTTGGCCCTTAAAAGCCCAAAGAAACATGTAAGGTTGTAGAAGGAAACATGTTTATATTCCAACTTGTGAAAATTTTGGGGACAAGTAAAAAATAAATTATGTAATCAAAGTAATAAGTGGAGCAATTAGCAGAATTTCACATTTATTTCTCTTAAAACTTGCTTCTCTAATTTTAATCATCTGGAATGATTTTATAGTAGCCATTAGTTGTGAGTGTACTGAGTGTTGTAATATATCTTTGGGCAGTTTGAAATTAATGTCCAAATTTTAATGGGAAAAATACAGAAAACTGTATTTCAAGGTCCCTTTGGCAAAATATATGTGGATTTTTATGTCCTATCATAATGAATATAAATTTTTACTTACAGGTGCCCGGGAATATCATGTCCAGTTTTTTAGCAACCAGCCAGAGAGGGCGTGGGTCCACGAGAAACGGGTACGGGAGTACAAAGGTCATGAACAGTATGAAGAGTTATTAGCTGAGGCAGCCAAACAAGCCAGCAATCACTCTGAAAAGCAAAAGGTAATGAGCTAATACTTGATAGTCTGTTTTGTTTGTGAGATTGAAGATGGAGCCCAGGGACTTTCCCATGGAGGCGAGCAGTCTGCTGCTCCACTGTCCTCACTCTCCACTGATCCACTGTATCGCTGGCCACAGTGGTGTGTACCTACAGTCCAGTCTCTCACTACTGAAGCAGAAGTATCACTTCAAAGTTTGAGGCCAGCCTGGTCTACACAGCAAGTTCCAGGCCAGTCAGAGGCCCTGTCTCCAAAAACATAATGAATAAATAGTTGTATATGTCGTGTGACATTATAGTACTGTTAAAAACTGTGGGAACTGAGTTGTAGATCATGTGCTAGTGTGCTTGCCAGTGCACATAAAGCTCTGGGTTAGGTTTTGTTTCCAGTAGACTGGGCATGGCTGCACATCCAGTAGAGGCAGATCAGAGCTTCAACTTTTGCTGCACAGAGTTTAGGGCTAGCCTGGGATACATGGGATCCTGTCTCAAAAAACAAAGACCAGTTTTATAATCTATTGTGAATTTATGTTCACCGACCCAGTAGATATTAGTGATGCTTATTTCGCTAAGGATTGTAAATAATTGTTTTGTATTTGTGTCTTCCTATAACTCTCCTTTATTCTATTAACAGTTATATTTATTAGAGATTTTAAAATACTTGATATGAGCCTGGAGTTTGCAGCATGTGTAATGCCAGCATTTAGGAGGCTAACATAGAAGAGTCCAGAGTTAAATCAGTTTAGGCTAGCAGTGAGACGATCGCAAAACCCAAAGCCAAATCAAAGAAAGGTTTATCTAGTACCTTATATGAAATAGCATCGTTTAAAGTATTGATATACTATCTAATCTTCATGATAATCCAAATAAGGTATACATTTTCTTTTCTACAGATCAGGAACTAAAGTGCAGAAGGCTTAAGTTACTGGTTCATCTCAGACCACAGGAGTTATAGATCCAGGAAATGTATTTGAAGTGAAATGGATTCTTAATTATATATACTTTATTGATTTTTATTTATTGTTTGATATGGTTATATTTTATTTATCTTATATTACTGGCATATCTATTATAACCAGTGCTAGGCTTCATAAAGATAATTTTTTCAAGTATATTGTGCAATTAATGTAGGTCTCTTAGAATTCTGAATTTCTAATTTTTACACTTGCTATATATTGGCTAGGAGTGAGGTCATGTGTTATTAATCTCAGCATAGATGAGGCAGGAACAGGCAAGTCTCTGAGTTCATGTCTGGCCTGGTCTGAATAGCGAGTTTTAACCACCCAAAAATACCAACTAAGTTTTATCAGGGGATTAAAAGAATAATAATAATAAAAAAGAATTGTAATTATTATATTTGTTTGTTTGTTTATTTAAAACAGAACAAAACAAACCACAATCCAGAACCATTTGGAGCCGGAGTGATAGTTGTGAGCTGCCTGCTTTGGGTGCTGAGAAGCAAACTCTGGTCTTCTGGAAGAGCAGTATATGCTCTTTTCTTTTTTCGCGGGGGAGGGGTGCAGGGTCTCCCTTTGTATCCTTGGCTGTCCTGAAACTATCAGGCCGACCTCAAACTCACAGAAATCTGCCTGCCTCTGCTTCTGCCTCTGCCTCCCAAGTGATGGTACCAAAGGCTTCAATACATACTGTTAATGCTGAGCCATCTCTTCATCCCCACACAGAGGATTTTAATTAATTTTATCAGACTTTATTTTAAAGATTTAGACATCAATATCTACCATCTCATAGTCCTTTTAAAAAACATTATTATCACCCTTTTTTTGAGATTGGGTCTCACTATGTAACTCTGCCTGGCCTGGAACTTGCTTTGTAGTTCAGGCTAGCCTTGAACTCCCACAGATCTGTCTTTCTCTGCCTCCTGAGTCCTGGCATCAAGGGTGTGTGCCATTCTGCCCAGCTCTATCATCTTTATTTTGTGTATGTATGTATAGCTCACCTTCCATGATGTGTATGTGGATGTGGGGGTTTTGTTTCTCCAGTGTGGGGGAATTGTTTCTCTTCTGCCTCGTGGGTTTCAGGGATGGGTAGGGAGGCTTGGAGGTAAGTACCTCTTCTGAGCCATCTCACTGGCCCCTATCTAAACAGCTCTGAGTTGCTTTGCTCTTCAGTTTCTTTAACTTCTTTGTCATCTCACACACTTTTAGTCAAAGCTTTCTTACCCTCCTGCCAACCCTGAACCTTAGAAAGAGTCAACCTCTGTGGAAAGGCATTCAGGGTTTTTGTAACGCTCCCCATAATCTATCCCTCCACCCCGCTACAGACTCTTTCCTTTGTTTTGTTGTTTCCTTGGATTTTTATCCTCTTCAGAGACTGACCACACCTCCAAATGTAGGCTGGCAGCAAGCTTTGCTGCTATCTGCACAGTATCTGACTTACTTGACTCCCTGTGGAAGGAAACAGCAACTCTGCAGTAGTATTTAATGTTAAGTGTTACTGGCCCCTGAAAACAAGTTGTTTCTGTAGTCTTTCTTCTCCCAAATATGATGTAGGATGACAACTCCTTTTCGGAGGTGTTTGCTCAGCAGAGTAGTCAATAAAGGAGGTAATAAATAAAAGAACAGTCCCTCATGCCATTTAATAGAGTAATACTAGTTTATAATAGCATGAGATCAGCACATTGCATTTATTTGCTTGGAGAATCTGAAAATATTTATGTGTGCTTGAAAAAAAATTGCAGGGTGTTTGGAAAATGCATGCTGATTTTAATGTGCCTGTTGGACTAAAGCATTTCACATAATGCTTCTATCTTTTATAAAGATTCGGAAACCCCGGCCTCAGAGGGAACGTGCCCAATGGGATATTGGCATTGCTCATGCAGAGAAAGCATTGAAAATGACCCGAGAAGAAAGAGTAGAACAGTACACTTTCATCTATATCGATAAGCAGCCAGAAGAGGCTTCATCCCAAGCAAAGAAGAACGTTACCTCCAAGACTGAAGTCAAGAAACCCCGAAGACCAAGATCTGTGAACAGTCAGGCAGAACAGACCAGTGCTGGGGAGGTGGCCTCCTCACAGCCAAGTACTGACCTTCGAAGACAGAGCCAGAGGCGGCACACCAGCTTGGAAGAGGAAGAGCCACCTCCTGTTAAAATAGCCTGGAAAACAGCAGCCGCAAGGAAATCCTTACCAGCTTCCATCACAATGCACAAGGGGAGCCTAGATTTGCAGAAGTGCAATATGTCTCCAGTTGTGAAAATTGAACAAGTGTTTGCTCTCCAGAATGCGACAGGAGATGGGAAGTTTATTGATCAGTTTGTTTATTCAACGAAGGTACCTCCTGTTCTATAGGGGCTTGGGGAATGGCACTAAAAACCACTTAAGAATGTAATTTAAATACCCCTTGGATCCACTGCATTTGAAGCATCCAGTCTCGTTTACTGTGGGTAAAAAGCTATGTTCTTCCCCGTTTCCCTCTTGTAATATTTCCATCTGTAGTAGATTAATCTTGAGCAATGCAGCCAAAATTGATCTTAGCTCCTGAAAGTCATGGAAAAAAAACTGGGCAGTTTGCCTGTTTTTAATTTGTAGGGTTAGTTTTCCTTTGTTGTAAAGTATGATTTTTATTAAAATTTTTCTTTTATCTGAATTAACCGTTGTTATAAAAAAAAACTACTCGAATAATTGTGCCTGCTGATCTGTTTGATTGTACCAGCAGTAGTTCTTTGTTTTGTTTTGTTTTATTTTAATTTTAACTACACAGTTCATTTAACTCAATGTCCCTAAACATTATTTCAATATGTAGTCAGTACAAAGTGTTTGGTGAACTGTTTTTTACTTTTTTGTTTTTGTTTTTGGTCATCTAAGTCTTTGGAATTGACTGTATAGCCAATCCTCCACCCACCTCTCTTGGGTTTTGTATAGTCCAGGCTAGCCTAAAACATGTAGTTGAGTATGACCTTGTAGTTCTGATTCCCTTGCCTCTGCCTCCCAATGGGATTATAGAGATGCAGCATGCAGCAGTGTTAGGGATGTAGCCCAGGGCTTCACACTCATTCGACAAGCTTTGTACCAACTGAGCTGTGTCCGCCAGCTCGTATTTTACATCCTAATGGAGACTAACCACTCTGCAGGTCAGCCACATGTGGCTACTGTGTTGGACCATGCAGGTTTAATGAGTATTTCTTGCATATCCTTGAATGTACACATTGTGATTTTTTTATTAATAGTGTGCTCCTCTGGCATGGCTTGGTAGCACATGCTTGTCATCCCAACACTCTGAAGGAAGAGGCACAAGGAATTAAGGCCAGCCTGAGCTACATAGCAAGACCTTGTCTCAAAAAGTATAAATATGGCTGGCCATGCCTCCGCCAGGACTCCTAACAACTGTACCTATTCCTTGCCTTCTCTCAATCCAGCTTGAAGCTATCTGAGAAAAGGCCACATTTAGCTTGGCATTGTTCTGCCGGCAGTTTTGTTAGATTCCTGTTAGCTTGGGATATCTTGTTGAGTTTTCATTACTATGGTGGTCCAGTAATGAATTATGGTGTGGAAAGGGTAGTTAATAGTCTAGATAGGCTACTAAAGACCTTTCCATTTAAGGCAGTTAGTCTTTGGCTTTAAGGTGTCAGACTTCTTTATAACATTGGAATATGCACACACCTTCTAGCCCACTCCATAATTTGGGGTTTGTGGTTTTGATTTAGTTGCATCTTGTGCATGTGTCTATTAAGGAGTTCTGTGCTTTCTTTTCCCCCCTATTAGTATAGACATACACATATTAAAGTAATTGATTAAATATATAGGGACGCTTCATTCTTAGAGACTGTCTTAGAAATGTTGAGAGTCCTCTATTATCTCTTTCTGCCTGTAGGTTTATAATAATCTCAGTAGCACTAAGTTCCACGGAGAAGCTTAAACTACAGTCTCTACTTCTTTCCATTTTCTTTTTCCTTTACTTTCTCCTTTCCCCTCCTTTCTCATGTTCCCTACTTTCCTCTTTCCCATTTTCTTTCCTTGGCCAGAAGAGGGTGTCAGATCCCTTGGGGCAGTTGTGAGCCCCATAACTTTGGTGTGGGGACCAGAACTCACTCCCCCAGAAGATCAGCAAGTGCTCTTTACCACTGAGCCATCTGTCCAGCCCTAATGTGTTTTGTTGCTTTTGTTGTTGTTTTAGTTTTTTGTGACAGGGTTTCTCTGTGTAGCCACGGCTATCCTAAACTCGCTTTGTAGACCATGCTGTCCTTGAACTCACAGCGATCCACCAGCCTCTGCCAATGTGACTATTTTGATAGCATCATTTGCATATTGTTTGAATACAAATTGCCTTTATTCTTAGAGCTAGTTTTATTTGCTTCTGTATGAAAAAGTACACCCGAAACCCTAATACTAGTAAAGGAAGCTCAAGATAAAACGTCATCTTTTGGGCTAGAGAGATGACTCAGCCCTGAAGAACACTTGATGCTGTTGCACAGTTCTGGGTTTGCTTGCCAGTGCCCACGTGGTGACTCTCAACTATAACTCCAGTCCAGAGAGGATCCAGGGCCCACATCCTGGTCTGCAGGCACTAGGCATGTATGTGGTACTCACATGCAGGAAGAACACTCATATACATAAAATGAAAAGAAATCTTTAAAAACAAATCGTCTTTTGAAAAAAAAAATAACACTTAAAATTACTCTTATTTCATTACATTAAAATATCTAAATTAAGATCTAAATTACCTGTACCTACTGTCTGTTCCACATTACTTACTTTTTCTAAGTATAAATGGCATTTTTCTTAGCTAAAGGTAATCTCATCTCAAGATACATTGACCTTTCTGCCTTTGTAGTAGATGACTTTACCAAATGACAGTGGTGTAAAGAAAGAACCTATTTAGTCTAGGAATTCATTTGTATTTGATAGAAAATGTGGGGGATGTAGGTTTATTTATTAAGGATATTTATCACCTGGACATAAGGCAAATAGTTTTTATTTTTCTTTGAAGTGATCTCATTGTATATTTAAAAATCTGTCCTGATGACTTAATAAAATTTTTCTGATTATGACTAATCGTAATTGACAATACACATTTGAGCAAATTATGATCATGTTAAACCATCTTTATAAGCTCATGATACTATGTATCTGCTAATCACTTGTTTTTTATTCTGCCTCATTTTAAAGGGAATTGGTAACAAAACAGAAATAAGTGTCAGGGGGCAAGACAGGCTTATAATCTCTTCACCAAGTCAGAGAAATGAGAAGCCAACTCAGAACACGTCATCCCCTGAGACGACATCTGGTCCTGCAGGTGGGTATGACTGAGGGCTCCCAGATCCATCCTGAGAGGTTCCTAAGAAACTTTCATTATCACAGGGAAATGGTGGTGAATGGAAGCTGGTCATAATGACACACTCGTAACTATTTCATAGTGAGAATTGTTGCTTTGTATGCTAACTGTAACTCCAGTCCCAGGGGATCTGATGCCCTCTTCTGGCCTCCGTGGGCACCAAGTATGGTGCACAAACATACATGTAGGCAGAATATTCATCATTTTGATTTTTTTTTCTTTGAGTCAGGGTTTCCCTGTGTAGCATTGGCTGTCGTAGACTCCTTTTGTAGATCAGGATAGCCTTGAACTCACAGTGATCCATCTGCCTCTGCCTCCCAGACTACTGTGATTATAGGTGTGGGCTACCATCCCCAGCTCATTTGATTTTTAAAAGCAATTATTTTAGTAGGAAATAATGAAGCAGAGCTAGAGAGCTTTAGTCATAGTTCTTTTCCCTACAGGAATTTAAATATTAGCGCAGTTCTATAATTAAGAGTATAGCTGTAAATTCTATGCTAAGTATGGCGGTGTGCATGTAATCCCAGCCAAAAGAAACCAGCAGCATCCTAGCACAAAAAAAAAAAAAAAAAAAAAAAAAAAAAAGTTGGGGATGGGGCAGGATAGCTGTGAATTTGAACATGTCTAAGTGCTGTCTCTCTCTCTCAGCGTAGGACAGCAGCTTACTCTTCCAGCAGTGGTGGGCGTTCTCATCCTCACCATTTGCTGCTTCACCCTCTGTTGGGAACAAAATTGTTGGTAGATGTGTGCAGTGTTAGTAGCTCTGAGACTCAGGATCTAGCTACTCTAATGTAACGTTCTCCGACTAGCCGATACCCTGATCTGAAAACTGAGCAGTATTATTCTTCCTTAAAAGAGAAATTGCCTGAAGTAGGAAGTGGGTAGCAGAAGCAGGTAGAACTCTGGAAGTTTGACACCAGTCTCGTCTACATGGCAAGTTCCAGGCCTGCCAGGGATTACAAAACAAAGTGAAAGGAAACAACAACAAAAAACAGGAAGAAAAATTCCTTTATTTAGTAACGTTATGCATGTGGAAGACTTAATTGTATGTGTGTGTGTGTGCGCGCGTGCGTGTATGTGCATGCGTGCATGTGTGCTTGCACACACGCCATGGCATGCCCATGGACCTCAGAGGACTACTTCTGGGAGTCAGTCTCTGAATGTGGCTCCTGGGGATCCAACTGAGGCCAGACCTGACAGCAAGCACTTGTATTCACCTGATCAGCCGAAAGCTGTTTTTAGAATGACTTAAAAATGCATCTTAGTTTTAACTGATTGTCTGCTACAGTTGTATCATAACAACAATGTAATATGAATGATAGGTGAATATTCTGTGTCGTGCTTCATATAACCAGTAAAAATAGAGAGCTGTAATCTCATCTGGAGAGGCTTTCATGAGCATCCCAATTCTAAGGCCAGTGTAGGTAGCTTAGTGAGACCTTGTACCAAAATAAAAAGCTACGCTGGGGAGGGAGCCATGTAGTGGCTCCTGCTTTTTCTCCAGCACTCAGAAGGCCAGGCAAGAGGATCACTGTCAGCCAGAGTCAGCTTGGGCTATTCCAGGACAGCGTGGCCTACAGAATGAGAACCTATCTTAACACGTCTCTCTCACCCTTGTAGGCTGTTCTATAGGTCAGTGGTAGGGTGCTTGCCTGGCGTGCACACACCGGCAGTATTTAACTAAAAAAGAAAATCTTAATTAGCTTGGTCATTTGGAATCTTATCTTAGAAATAAGAGCTTATTTCATTTTGTTCTTTAAAAGATTTTGAGTTCTAAGAAATGATTTTTTAATATAGGAAGAAAAAAACAACAAACTGTTTCTGATCTGCCATACATTGGCCATTTTGCACACTCCTGTGACCTAGACGAGTGGATTATTTTCCCCCACACTGACCAGTTCTTAGACACCTGCTGAGCAACCTTTTTGTTTGTTTTTGCTTAGTTTGAGACAGGGTCTCTCTACATAGCCCTGGCTGTCCTGGAACCCACTCTGTAGACCAGGCTGACCCTAAACTCACAGAGATTGCTCTCAGTGTCAGACCCTTCAGGTTTAAGCTTCCCTGCTTCTGGTTTCTTAGAGGTAGAGTGTGCTGGGAAACCCAGTCTGCTGGGACTCACTATCCTTTGTCCCGCAACCCAGCTTGGGCATGGATGCCAGATGGCTATAGGACTTGGGGTTTGTGAGACAGGATTCTCCCACTGTAGCCCAGGCTGGCTTTGGATTCCAGATCCTTTGGCCTTAACCGCCAGGCCTAACTGTCTCCAGAGTTGCTACTGTTCCCTCCTCTGGTTGAGACATTTGCCCACGGAACTCGGGTGAGCACTTCATCGAAGCTTACCAGTTTGTTACTAAAGACATCCCAGACGTACAAACAAAGGGCTGTATAGTTTCCCTGCCCTCCTTAGGTCTCTGTCCTCCGAGGCTCTTTCTGTTTCCTCATCTGGATGTTCTCCTACTGCCATAGTTGAGAGGGTTTTAGGAGGCTTCAGTGCATACAGACGATCTGTCATTCATTTAGGCTCCAGCTTGTCTCTACTTCTTGGGCTTTGTCCTTGTTGCCACTATCCTCTGCCTAGCAGCCCATCAGAAGTTGTCTCAGCAGAGTAAAGGAGAGATCTGCTAGCATGTGCTTGGAGTCTCTGTGCCAGGAACAAAGACCAGACACAGCAAATGTACATTCATACCACTTAGAGAATTAGAAAAGATTTAGGAATGAAAGGCAGAGATCACATATATACTTCTTTCTTTTTAAAAATGTGACATTTATTTATTTGTGTGGTACATGTGTGCCACTGTGTGCACAGAGGTCAGAAAAACTCCTTGGGTCTGTCTTTTCACACTGCGGGTCTCGGGACGAGATTGAACTCAGTCCTGGTGGTAAACGCCTTTACCCACTGAGCCATCTCACTGACCTAGTATACTTCTTGCTATATTGTAATAATATAAAAGAATAATACAGTATGAATATAATAAATATAAATATATTTATAAATATAATCATAAAAGAATTAATATAAAGAATAAAATAATAAAATGTACTAATATCAAAGACTCTTCTGGAAGAGTCAGGGTTTGGAAAGTGAAAATAAAGATATCTTGAATCAGTGGTAATCCTGGCATATCTGTGATAGGAGAGAGAGTTATTTTTGTGAGTCAAATCTAAGTAAAATATAAACTGTTACAAAAACTATCTTAACAGCCACCATTCAGAAAAGATTTGGGCCAGGCAGTGGTGACATATGCCTTTAATCCCATATACAGCAGTCAGAGGCAGGTGTGTCTCTGTGAATTTGAAACCAACCTGGTCTACAGAGAGAGTTTTGGGACAGCCAGGCTACACAGAGAAACCCTGTTAAAAAAAAAAAAAAGAAAAGAAAACAGGGAGGGGGAGATCATGGAAAAAGACTAGGACTAGCTCTCTAAAAATAGGAGATACAGGATACAAGTCAGGAAGCTATCATTTATGGGCACTTGGCATGGGCTGAATGAGGCACAAGAGCAGAGGGAGCCGAGCTAGGAACCGAGGGAGTAGCCTGTGGCAGCAGGTCTGCTGTTTGCATCCTGTCAGCAAGTGACTTAGGCTTTGCATTGATTGGCCAGAATGTAATGTTTGCTTTCTTTGACTATAACAACACAAAACCTTTTAGACTCAGCTGTTCAAATAGGCGTATCAGTTCTTAGAGCAATTTTGTTAATTTGTCTTACTGTAAGTGGGATATCTAGATCCTTATGGACACACTTACAGTTTCTCAAGAAGGGAGAAAATAAATTCTTCATTTAATACTGGATACTTCTTAAGTGTCACAGCTTTTATTAATGGGTCGTTTTTCTTCCCTTTAGCGATTGAACATTCTGTCTGTGTAATTTGTTCATTATAAGATTGAAGTTCTGCTATGAACTTTTTAAGTTTTTTTTTTTTTTCAAGTAGAATGTTCTTATTTTTTGAACTTAGAGAAGAGCTATCTGATTTCTTCTAGACACATTGAAGTTAGTCTTTAAGTCCTTCAGGCTGCTTTGGCTTTGGTTTGTCACCAGTGGTAGCTCATCAGCATATTGTCTTCTTAAATGATCACCTCGTTTTTCTGTAAAGGTAACATTTAATAGTTTTAAGGTCAGAAACAAGACTTGTTTCTCATAGAAACCATCGTGTCATCATCTTAGCTGCAAGCGGAGAGTTCTTGATCTTTTATTTTAAAAGTTAAGTATATAAACTGTGCACCACTGACATATTTCTGTGGCTTGAAGAATGATATTCATGCTAGGTTACTACATTGTTTTCCAAATCTTCATCCCCTACCCCTTTAGAAAATAAGTATAAAAATTGTTAGTGTTTTCTCTGAGTAGCCTTGGCTGTCCTAGAACTCCCTCTGTAGACCAGGCTGGCCTTGAACTCAGAACTCCGCCTACCTCTGCTTCTCAAGTGCCAGGTGGTGTGCACCACCACCACCTGGTGAGAATAATCTTAAGTCATGTTGCTTCACCCTCTGTAAGATACAGGTCAGGGTTGGGACTGTGGCTCAGTTGGTAGAGTGTCGGCCTAGCACACGTAAAGCCTGGGTTCAATCTCCGACACCACATAAACTAACATGTTGGCTTATGCCTGTGCTCACGTGGTGCTCAAGCCCACCACTTGAGAGGTAGGAGCAGAGAGGTCAAGAATTCATGATCACCCTTGACTGTGGTGTGTTTTCAAAGCTAGTCTACTCTACGTGAGAGTCTATCTCAAGGTAGATAGATACGTAGATACATGGGTGATACATAGATCTTGTCAACAGTGTTTAGTCTGCACTGCTTGCCAACCTCCATGAATGTCACTCTAGAAACAAGTAGGTTTGTTTGTTTGTTTGCTTGCTTGCTTGCTACTGCTTCTAGGTTGTTTTCATTTTTGTTTTTCTAGGTAGTACTTGAGTATTGATTATGTACTAAGGCATGGATCTCTGAAATCCTCAGCTGGTTTTTGAGGGCAGGCTGTCTCTTGCTTTAGTGAACATTTTTATCAGTTTAAGGACAAGAGTCGAGAGTAAAGGATGGTTCCAGAACCTTCATTGACTTCTGTAACTGGATTGTGACTTTGGTGCTAGAAGCAGATTAATTATAGCTCTGAAATATATTGTTGCCACGATGCAACTAAAGCACTTGCCAGCAAGCAAGAGGACTAGAGTTCAGATTCTTTGAACCCACATAAGTGCCAACTGAACATGGAAGCCTTCCTATAATTCCAGCCTTGAAAGGTGGGTATAGAGACCAGCTGTATTCGTGAGCCCTGGTGTGACTGGTTCCTGACAGTGCCTTTACCTGCATGGCACAAATGTGCACATACACACCTGTGTGAACCTGCGTGCACACAGGTGTGCCCCACACATATACACATGAAAAGAAAAATGGCCGATGAGATACTAAGTGGGCACCTGAGTGTGAGTACCAGGTTCCGCATGGTGAAAGGAGAGAACCTCCTTCCACAAGTTGTGCTCTGATCTCACACTGGTACTGTGGCATGTGCACCCCCCCCCCACTCCCACAAGCACACGAAATAAATAAAACGTGATTCTTTTTTAAAGGGGGGAAAAACATAGTATTGCCAAAATACCAATACTTTTAAAACTTAAGTAGTGGGACTTTTGTTTTTTGTAGATTTGCTAAGGCAAAGGGAAGTGTTTCTGTGTACAACAGAGCAGTGAAATGCAGAGTTGTAAAGATTATCAGTCTATTTTTTTTAACAATTGTACTGTTAAAAAAATCTTAGATCAGGCATGGTGCCTCAAGCCCTTAACCCCAGCACTTAGGAGGCAGAGACAGTTGGATGTCTAGGAGTTACAAGCTACATAGTGAGCGCAACCCTCTCTCAACACAAAAAAACAAAACCTTAAGCTTATTATGCTGTTTAGCATGAAAAATATCAATAATTCACTCTAGTTTTCCACAATTAGTTGTTTGTCTTCCCTTTTTCTCTTTTGAGATTAGCTTCACATGACCCAGCTGACCTCAAATTCACAATGTAGCTAAGAATGACCTTGAACTTCTGACCCTCATGACTCCATCTATAAGTCTCCCGGTTTGTGTTGTACTGGGAATCTTATGGGAGGCTTTGTGCATGTTAAGCAAACACACAGTCATTTCCAAGACACAGCAAAGGCTCCATGTGATAGTTAAGTTAATAGTTGTGTTTGATCACATTTTTGTGCCATCCTGTTTTGTTTTTTTTTTTTTTTTTTTCTGGCTTACTTGTTGTAGCAGTAAAATAACTTACACAAGTGTACCAAATGCTGTTGCTGTTTATATATAAAATCTGTTCAGCTCACTTACGGTGGAAAATGTGTGCTATACAGTGAATTTTTAACCAATTGTGTGTGTGTGTGTGTGTGTGTGTGTGTGTGTGTGTAGGGTAGAGGGTATTTCTCTCAATTGATTTTTGATAAAGGTCTCTTGGCTAGACTGGCTGGCAGCAAGGGACCATTCTCCGCTCCCTCAGCACTAGGATTGCTGGGGCTCTGAACTCGCTGCCTCTGTGTTCGGCAGGGAAGGCGTGTGTGCTGATCTGTTCAGCCCCTTCACCCCAAGTTACACTTCCCAGGTGCATTTCACCGCCTTCAGTAGTGTACTGTGCCTCTGCTGCTTTGGCCTGACTTTAAAACTACACTAAACTAAAATTCCCCCTTATTTGTGTAACTGGGATCCTTATAGAGCCCATTCTCAGCTTATTTGAGCTATTAAATAATTTTGGTCCCCAAGTATATAAAAGTTTTTTTAATGACTTCTAATTAAAATTCTGTAAGTAATGTGTTTTGGTTTTTTTTAAAGGTCAAGAATCTGGTCAGATCTTAGCCAAATGAGTCAAACAGTTCTTAAATATGTTTTTGTTTTTTTGTGTGCTTAAATCATCTCTTAGGCCCAGTAGAAAAGAAGCAGCAGAGAAGATCAATCAGGACTCGATCTGAATCAGAGAAATCCACCGAGGTTGTGCCAAAGAAGAAGATCAAAAAGGAGCAGGTTGGCTTCCTACATGTAGAGAGTTAAAGCGTGTCTGTAATGTGGTGGCTTACCTCTTGTCGCCAAAGAAAGATTCTCCCCACCTTGGCCTCCTTCCTGAACTACTCTTGCCATCTGTCCTGGTGGGTTGCAGTGGCGGCTTCTCCAGCAGCTGTCCTGTGACGGTGCTTCAAGCATTCTCACAGAAAGCAGGTCTGGGAGAGAGGAAGCCAGCGATGAGAGACCCTTACATTCATTTTGATATTTCTGTTGTAAGCACAATGAGTTCATGTTTTCATGAGTTTTACTTGGAACCACCATCATTGAGTTCCCTTTTTTAAAAACTTTGATTTTTGGTTTAAGCTGCTGGTATATATTGTTTTTATTTTTTAAACAAATCAAATTAATTTAATTTATATTCTTATATTTAAGAAGCAGGTAATCATAGATGATCTGGTTTTTCTGTCAGTATCACAGATCTTTTGAAATGTTATTTTTCCCATGGAATGGCACTCATCTGGAATCAAACTGTCAGATAAACAATATTCAAGTAAAATGTGTGTGGGGAGGGGACTACATTTTGATCGACTGTGTTCAACTAATGTAATCAATGTAGTAATATACATGTTAATCACCTTTTCAAAGAATTCTGAGAAATGATTTTATAAATTAAAAACTCACAGAATTTTTTTGTTTTTTTTTTTTTATTAAATAAATGAATATCCATCTTTAGGTAAGCACGTTGCCGCTGAGCTCTGGCCCCAGAATATTTTTTTCTTTCTTACTTTTTTGAGACAGGGTCTCACTGTGTAGCCCTGGCTGGCCTGGAACTCAATATATAGATGAGGTTGGCCAAGTATTCACAGAGATCCACCTGCCTCGGCCTCCCCATTTGCTGGGATTAAAGGTGTCTGACACCACAACCAGCTGTAGAGTATTTATTTTTATAGCCCAATCATCTAGTATTAAAACAAATCCAGAATTAGTTCCAGTAAGTTCAATATTTTAAAGCAATTTACCCTGGAAGAGTATGTACTTTTTTATTTAAAATCTTCATAATTTAAAATTTTCAAATTTAAAAGCTAACTTTGTGGGTGCTCTATGGTATCACAAGCATATAAAACATTTTTTGAGAATATTTAGCTAAAATTTCAGTAATATTTGTTATTTATCATATAATTTCCGTACCTAGGAAATTAAGAAATACAATCCAAGTCTGACATCTATAGTATTTGTTACCAAAATGAAGTTGTGACTTTGCCACCTGGTTCCCAAATTCAGTCTGTGACCAGTTAGCTTAAAATTAATAAAAGATTGAGTAAAACTAATGGGACAAATTGTTACTGCCACTGTGTTATATATAGTTAGTAGTAGAACAATACCAGTGATTGTTTAGAAGATTTTATATTTGTACAACTAATTGTATCGTACAAAAAACATTCCTGTTGTATGTTTTTTTACCTGTTGTAAAAAAAAATAAAAAATTTTTAAAAAGCTTAGAACAATCCTTAAATATTTACAAAATGTGTTTCAACATGCATATTTCACATCTTAAGGAAACATAAATTCCATCTTAGCCTAAACAGAACTTCTGCAAACAGTATCTTTTCCCTATTCCAATGGTTCAGTCTTCCAGTACCACGTGTTTTACATATACATTGGCAGAATAACTTCTGATCTCGCTCTCCTAATGTAGGATCAAGACACTGTTCATAAGACACTCAAGAAAGTGCTATTGCAATATCACAAACTTACTAAGTTTGTTCTAGCTGCACAAGTATTGAGCTTCCAGCTGTATGGAGCCATGTAGCACTCTCTACAGAGAGGGTCCTGATTCCCAGCAACTTAGCTGTGAGTGCAGGCGCGGAAGGGTCTTAAAGTGGCGTGAGTTACATTAACCTGAGTATCATAGTAAGTAAAAATTTATCCTAATGTCTTTGGGGCGGGAGGGGTGCATAGGAACGTTGGGGCCGGTCGCAGAAACAGCCCCTCTCCTGCCTCCCAGACACTGAGGAAAATACTCTCATTCTCTTCAAGTACCAAGGGAGTGGTGGGAAGTCTTTGCTAAAGAGCATGCGGCTGTGTGTCGTCACTCGGTATTCAGCACAGGCAGCTAGGATGTAAGCCCCTGACCTTGAGACAGAGGGCTTGACCCACAAGATGGGACTGAATTCAGATTTTCAATAACACTGATCACTCATTACTGCTTAGATTGATGAAAATGTCATTTTTTTCCCTCTTTCTTTTAAAAGTGAAAACTTCTTGTTAATGCTGTGTTTTTCTGTTCAAACAGGTTGAAACAGCTCCCCAGGCTGCCCTGAAGACTGGATTACAGAAAGGTGAGTTACTGTTAATGATGCTACTTTGCAGTCCTTGATTAAACCAATTTTTAAGAATAATTTATATGTGCTTCATGTATTTTTGTCTGTCTCTGTAAATCATTGTTGCTCTTCAATGTGAAATTTACCATCCGTGTGTGTGTGTGTGTGTGTGTGTGTGTGTGTGTGTGTGTGTGTGTGAAAGAGAGAGAGAAACTTTTAGAGTTGATTCTATTCTGTACCTCCACATGAAAAGGCTTTCTTGTTTGGTAAATTAGAGGACACCATGTAGGTGCTATTGTTTTCAACTTTCTCCGTGAGGTTTTGGGATTTCACTGGCTTATCAACTAGGGATGTGACGAATCCACTTTTTTGGTATTCGACTGAATACCGAATAGTAGCTATTAATGTTTGTCAAAAATGGACGGGCAAATCAGACAGGACAGCTTGACTGGGGAAAAATGTTGCCACACTTATTTTTTACAGTGCTGTACAATCCTTTTGTAAATTTACCCATAGCATAACTATGGCCACTATCAGATGACCATATGTGAATCTCTTTGAGATATGCACAAAGTTTAAGAAGCCTTAAACTTCTATATGTGTTTTCTGTGTGCAATTTGAGTATAGTACAAACTCCATAGCATGACTCATGCGATTTTGGTGAGCTCAAACTGTGTTTAATACCTGTAGTTTACTCTGGGCAAATTGCATTATTTTAAAATAAATAAAATAAAACACCAGCCTCTCTGCATTCTCGGGGAGAAGTCTGCAGCGATGGTCTCCGTGGAGATCCTCAGCAGAACTGAACGCCTCTCGGAGGGAACACTGCTTGGCGGAGCTCCAAGAAAAGACATCGCGATCGCTGCGAGATTAGGAGGCCTGATTGCGTTGTGTTTCCACCATTCCACAGGGTCGGCGGACCGAGGAGTGCAGGGCTCTGTCAGATTCAGTGACAGCTCCGTCTCCGAAGCGAATGAGGAAACTGTGGACTGAGATTCCTGTACAATTTCATCCCAGAAACTCCAGACTTGTAGTCTCCGTCCGTGCAAGATTTCTTTGTCGGCGGCTCGATAAAGTTCCTTTTGTTTTGATTTTGCCAATCATCATTATTGGCATTCTCTGGCCTGGTTTCTTCTTCAAGACTGAACAATTACTTTAACATTCAGATGATTTCTCTTTTTTTTTTTTTTCTTCTTTCTTTTTTCTTTTTTTGTCTGAGCTGGATGGGTACAGCTTAAATCATGGGTCCAGCCTAAAAACCACCATTAACTTACCCTGATCAATTCCAACATGGACTGTTTTGTTTTTTGTTTTAAAATAAAGCATCATTAATACACATCTGCAGGGTTTTGCCAAATGGCCCAAACTGTATACATTGCAATCATTAAAAGCTCTTATTATTTTTTTTTAATATTAGTGCCGTTATCATGGAGAACAGCATGACAGCTGTCTTCAGCGGTCTGTCATTTTTCTAGCGTTTTCAGAAACTCATCGGAATTGGCGGTACCTGTGTTTCCCTTCGAAAGCTTCTCAATACAGCACTCCTGTTCCTCTGTTAAAACTCCTTGTTAATTCAGTGATCTTTTAGGCCAAGGAAATACTTTGTGGTGGTGTTCTGGTTCCACACACCAGCAATGAAAGAGATAGATTTGTGTACTTGTGTTTTTTTAATCCGCGTTAACACGGGCAGGCACCCTTATTTGTAGCTGTCAGGAAGCAGTCAGTGCAAACTTACTAGGCTGGGATGTGCTCACAAGGTTCCAGTAACCCGAGCAGTCTCCTGAGGCCCACAGCTTCCACCTCAGAACATGGCTATACACCAAGCGCTGCTCCCACTCAGCCTGTTGCGGATCTTCATGGCCTCGGGAGACTTGTTTCTCCGGTCTCTCCTGGACTGCACACTTCACCATAGCTTGCGGGGCTGGTCTAGATGTCTGTCTGTTGTATGGAAAGTTTGGGGGGAATCTAAGACACAAACTGTGGGTGGAAATATTAACCGTCTCCTTGGTTCCTTGGTTTTCACCGTTGCCTGACCTGCACATTTCATCGTGGCTGTCTCTGTATAGCCTACCGCATTAGCCCAAGAGATTGTTGCTTTGTAACTTTTTGCACTATTGTTTTGGCTGGATTTGTATTACACGCAGTTTTAAAAAAAATTTTCCACACTATTCTCTGCCTTTTTTTTTCCAAATATGTTTATTCCTTCCCTTACAAAGTCCAGAGTTCTCCAGCTCCTCGTGCTCTGTTGCACGTGAACACTGGTTGTCCATTACAGCCCTCACAGTAATGTGCCTCGCGCACGGCGTGGCGTGTGCGTGTGCTGCAGCACTTGTTATGGCCACAATAAATGCCACTTTCCCGAGAAAGAGCAACTATGGAAATCCAAAATTTATTTGGGGACAGGAATCAACTGAATTGCAAAATTGGGGGGTTGGAATGGCACTATCCGTGTACGAATCGAATACAAATCAAAGATTTGTCACATCCCTAATAAAACAAGATGGAGATGTCTCTGCAACCATATCTGTAAACTACACTGTGTTGGGTTTCATGTCTTCCCCTTACAAAATTGAATGGTTCTCTGAATTGCTCCAAATCAATTGGCTGTCCTTCAGTTTTGATAAAATTGATGTCTAGATTGGAACTTGGGCTCTGTTGGTGAAAATAGTGATAGAGCAGAACTGAATTTAATGGTTCATAGAGCAGCTGTAAATGAAATCACTACCAGGAAGTCAGAAGCTTGCAAAGTTTTGGCTGGCAACTTCAGTGCTACAGAGAGCTTGAGTTCCCCCCCCCCCAACACACTTAAGATGAGTTTGGGGAAAGAAAATACTCTTCCTACAAAAAAAAAAAAAAAAAAAAAAAAAAAGCAGTAACCCTAAGTACTATTTTAGGATTAATTTCAGTGTGTTGTATTAAGGTGCCAGCGAGATTTCAGATTCCTGTAAACCTCTAAAGAAGAGGAGTCGCGCCTCAACTGATGTAGACGTGACTAATTCTGCATCCAGAGACACATCTGACTCCGACTCTAGAGGACTGAGCGATCTGCAGGTAAGTGGGCCTGGGCTCACGGCTCTTTCTGCTTTGCACTGCTCTTTCTGCTTTGCCAGCCACGGTAGCATGCTTCCATTTGGGAAATCAGGCAAACGGAAACATGCTCATAGGAGAAAGTAAGGGTGAACCGACTGTCATTAACTCTTGCTCACCATGATAACTCAGCTTACCTGTTTGGGTAGGTCATCCTTCTTCATTGCGACTCCATATGCAACTCTCCCAAAGGGGAAGAGAATGACCTTCCCCAGTAAAGAGGGTGTATGTATGAGTAGCCGCACTCTCCTGCTAGAAGTCTAGACAAGCTTTTAGGGTCCGTTGTAGGAGAATGTCGGGTAGTCAAACTCCTAAATCTCTAGACCCAACCAAATGAGGTGCTTCATGTAGTAGTGGTCAGCTTTGTTTTAAGGGGGGTAGAGGGGAAGCAGGCATGGTGGCATACGCCTTTAATCCCAGCTCTCAGAAGGTAGAGGCAGGCAGATCTCTTCAGTTATAGGCCAACCTGAGGTATATAGAAAGTACAAAGGACAGCAGAGCTACAGTGTGAGATGTTGATATAATAATAACGCAAACAACAAAATCAACTCTTTGGGAAAAAAAACAACAACAACATGTTTTTGAGATAAGACCTCACTGTCCAACCCTGGATGGCCTGGAACTTTCCATGTAGAATAGGCTGGCCTGGAAAGTAGACACCTGCCTTCCTCAGCCTCTCCAGTGCTCAGGTTAAAGGTGAAGCTTGGCTAGGAAAAAAAAACATCCTTTTGGTTATTTGTAACTTATTTGTAGATTTCTTACATAACGGAGGAGTTTGGTTGTTGCTTTTCAAACATTAGCTGCAGTTTCTCCAGGTGACAGGTAGATGGCATTCCTGGGTTGAAGCAAGAAGGCAGGCAGGCTGGCCTCTCCCAAGACAGACTTGAGTCAGTTTCACCAGATTTTGCATTGTGTCTACAGGAATTGTTTCTCCTTATCATGTGCTGTTTTCCAAATAGGTTGGCTTTGGAGGACAAGTAGACAGCCCTTCAACTACTGCTGACGCAGATGCTTCCGATGCACAGTCGGTGGACTCCAGCTTGTCACGGAGAGGCGTTGGAAAGAGTAAGAAGGACACCGTGTGCCAGGTAGGCAGGCGGCTCTTTAGAAACACATGGCGCAGCCCTGTCAGCAGTATCTGCACCTCCTGTATCATGCATCATCATCATTATTACTCCTGTTGTTGTTACACTGCTTTAAAGCTGTAGGTCTAAGTGCTGTTTGTGGTTCTCCCCATCCTGAACTGGAAGATTTGTCATTCATATGCAAGTGTCAGTCTTCATTGGGTTTCTGTTTTGTTGGAGACAGGATGGCCTTGTCCGGTCTGAAACTTGCTGTATAGACCAGGCTAGCCACCATGCCCAGCTACCTATTCCTTTTTAATTTTTTTTTTTTTTTTGAATTCTCCAATTTTATGTTTTGCCTGCCTGAGGGTACATGCACCACATGCTTGCCTAGTGCCTGAGTTGGTCAGAAGAGGGAACCCGGAGTTACTGATGGGTGTGGGAGCTCCATGTAGGTGCTGGGAACCAAACATAGGGCTTCACAGAGAAACCATGTCTTAAAAAACACTAAAGAAAAAAAAAAAAGAAATGCAAATTCAGGGGTCCCTTTTTTAGATCTTCTAGGTCAGAATATTAGGAGAACAACCCAGTGGTCTAGACTTCAAGTACGCTGACCAGTTCTGATGCTCCAGTTTGACAGTTGCTGCTTCTTGCTCTTACAGATCTGTGAAAATGTAGGTGATTCTCTGGTTTCCTGTGAGGGCGAGTGCTGCAGACACTTTCACTTGGAGTGCCTGGGGCTAACTGCAGCCCCCGAGGGAAGGTTCATCTGTGAGGAGTGTGAAACTGGTGAGCTGTGCCCTGGAGGGCTGGGTAGGGGATGTGTGCTAGCGGTGTCTCTCGTGACTCTGTGGTGGAGCCTCCGGCTGCCCGCCCTCCTGTAGGTTCTCCGCTCCTTCCTTCATGGTGGAGGCAGCCGGCTGCCCGCCCTCCTGTGGGCATTTCCGCAGATCGAGACATCATCTAGCACCAAGCTTTCCGAGGTCAAAAAAGCAGTCTAAACTTCCTCTCACAGTGTGCCAGTGATGGGGGTGGGGGTGGGCAAGATGAATTTATTTTCTTTGTTGAGTATGTGGGTTGGGTTTTTTATTTGAGCTTAAAATTTGAATCAGTATGTACTTGATAAACAGGTTTAAAGTCCTTGAGTAGACTTCAACAAGTATCAATTGAAACTCTGTAAATATTTTAACATAATAGTTAATATATAGTTATTATAGTAAATGTTGAAATATAATATAGTAAAATAAAGATAGTTGTCTTTTCTGTTAATATGGTTATAGTAAAAATGTAATTGTTATTACATATTTACTGGAAAATGCTATTAACTTTTTCCCTTTTTTTTGTTTTTTTTTTTGTTTTTTTGTTTTTGGAGGCAGGGTTTCTCTGTTTAGTCATGGCTGTCCTTGAACTCACAGAGATCCACCCGCCTCTGCCTTCCCAGTGCAGGGATTAAGGGCCTGCACCACCACTCTAGGCCTGCTATTAAATTTTTTAAAACTTGGTATTTACCATTTATTTCTTCTCCTATTACTTATGTTCCGACACCCCTTATACTGTAGAAAGAAATATGCTAGTTTATGTTTCTTCTCTGATACAGCCTTGATTCTATTTAAACTTACGGGAAGCAGAAAGTAGTTGTTCAGTCTGAAACAGCACAACTAGTTGCCTTACTTTTCATTTGCTGTGAAGAGACACTGTGACCTTCTTAGGGCAGCTGTAAGGAGAAAGAGTTTAGTAGGGTGAGTACATGGTCAGCGTGCTAGGAGCACCTGAGCAGGCAGGCAGGTATGGCCTGGGACTGGAGCAGTAAATGAGAGTTTACATGTTGAGACTGTAGTCATGGGGTAGAGAGAGCTAATCTCAAAGCCCTTCCTCCAACAAGGCCACACCTCCGAATCTCTCCCAAAGGGTTCCACCAACTGGGAACTAAGTCAGGCATACTCTTTATTTATTTTTGTCTCAGTGTTGATAAATTCGGTTTTTCTAGGCATTTTCCCCACTGATACAAATTTTCAGATTAGCGAAAGTACAGTAATATCCTTATAATTTTTTAGTTATTTACTTACACATTTTAATGGTTCGTTTTTATTTCATGTGCACTGGCATTCTGCCTGCATGTATGTCTGTGTGGGGGTGTCAGTCCCCTGGAAGTGGGGTCACAGTCACTTTCAAGCTGTCATGTGGGTGCAAGGAATTGAGCTCAGGTGCCCTGGAAGAGCAGCCAGCCAGTGCTCTTACCTGCTGAGCCATCTCTCCATACCCCCTTATAATTTTTTTTTAATGTTTGTAGAGTTTATTGTGGTGTCTGGTTTTTCACTTCTGATACTAACAATATTGAAACTTTTTCCCTTGTTCATTTGTATCACTTAAGCCAGCAGTATTAAATTTGCTAATTTTCTGAAAGAACCAGATTTGACCAGTCCCCTCAGTGAATACGGATTTCAGTTCATTTTAAAAGAATATATTTATGAGCTGGTTTGGTGGCACACACCTGTAATCCCAGCACTCAGGGAGGCAGAAGCAGGCCGATCTCTATGAGTTTGAGGTCAACCTGGTCTACAAAGTAAGTCCAGGACAGCCAAGGCTACAGAGAGGAACCCTGTCGCAAAAAAAAAGAAAAAAAGAAAAAAAGAAAAAGGGGGGTATTTTTACTGAGGAGAGATCTGAGGAGATGACTCAGTTGGTAAAATAGTTGTTGTATAATCATGAGGACATGAACTTGAGGCCTAGTGTCCTTATAAAAGTTGGGTATGGCTGCATGCCTGTATCCTAGCACTGGGGAATAGAGCTAGGAAGACTCCTGAAGCTTGCCAGACACATTGAGTTCAGAGGTCGGTGAGAGACCCTACCTCAGAAAATAAGGTGGAGGGCTATTGAGGAACGCTAGATGTCAGTCTCCACATACAGTGTTCACCGAGACACACAAAGACAAATACACATACAGCAAGTGGGTAGGTGTAGGTAGAGTTTTGTTGTTTGTTTGTTTCAAGTTGTAGAAGTCTGGCTTTGGTGAGGAGGCCTAAGATAGATCTTGCGTAACCCAGGCTGGCCTTGAATTCCTGATATCTCCTTCCTTTACCTTTGAAGTGCTGAGAATTGTAGTTTTATGATTTTAATTTAGCCATGTTTTTACATTTTTAAAATTCACTTGAGGTGAATGGTTGTTTTATCAGCATGTATATTTGTATACTATGAGTGTGCCTGGTGCCCATGGAGGCCAGAGAGGGTGTTGGATGTCGTGGAACTGGTTGAGAGCTGCTGTGAGGGTACTGAAAATCAAACACAGATCCTCTGGAAAAGTAGCAAGGGCTCATGAGCACTGAGCCATCTCTCCAGCCCCATGGTTTTGTTGCTGTTGTTTTGTTTTGGGTTTTTTGTATGCTAAATTCTGAAGGTAGTAGTTTTTCTCAAGGGCAGCTCTTTGATATCTGCAGCTACTTCTACGTAAAAGGAATATTTAGTTTCTATGGAGGCACACACCTATAATTTGAACACGACGGGGACTGAAGCAGGAGCATGGCAAGTTTGAGGCTGTTCTGGGGTACATAAAAAATCCTTATCTCAGAAAACCAAGTGCTGGGATGTAGTTCAGTGTTAGAATACTTGCCTAGCATGCCCAAGGCCCTGGGCCTGATCCCAACACTTTGAGTGGTGCAATGAATGAAATGAAATATGCTTTAAATATGCTTTAACCTTTTTTTTTTTTTTTTTTATCAATTTTCTAGGGCAGCACCCATGTTTTTCATGTAAAGTGTCTGGTAAGGATGTGAAACGTTGTTCTGTTAATGTTTGTGGAAAATTTTATCATGAAGCCTGTGTCCGCAAATTTCCCACTGCCATCTTTGAGTCAAAAGGATTCCGCTGTCCCCAGCATTGTTGCTCTTCCTGCTCTATGGAGAAAGATATCCACAAAGCAAGTAAAGGTAACCAGAGCCAAAGAAGGAACAAAGTGTTTAAAGTGCAGTGTGAATAGTATGTTCAGCACATCTTTGTCAGCAAGAGCAGGCTTCTCTGTTTATCTCCAAGTTTAAAAGCTGAGCTACACAGTTGAGTCATTAGGCAGAGGCCAAGTTGTCCATTCAGACCATAAGAAGTAAGTTCTGGGCATTCGGCCTACACTAAAACTTTCTTAGGTATAGACACAATATCTATACCAAAGTAGACCCTGATTCCTTTGGAGGATCCCTAACGGACCCTTAGACTTAAATCTAGGGCTGTGAAGAACAGAATGACAGTGTCAGCAAAGGAGAGCACCGTAACAGCTGTAAGAAGTTTCATGTGGTAGGGGGAGCCCTCCTCCCAGTGTCCCAGCCAGCATGCTGTACATCGCTTCTTGACCTGTCTTCACACAGGCCGCATGATGAGGTGTTTGCGCTGTCCAGTCGCCTATCACTTTGGAGATGCGTGTGTCGCTGCTGGAAGCGTATCTGTGTCCTCCCACACTCTGATTTGTAGTAACCATTCCAAACGGAGTAGTCATTCTGCCGCTGTAAACGTAGGCTTTTGTTTCGTTTGTGCCAGAGGTGAGTGTCAACCCATTTTATCTCCTTGTTCTGATTCATTGGCATAGTTCTCCATTTAAATGTGTCTCTGCATTGGAGAGAACTCCAGCTGTCTCATGGTTTTATGTCCAGAGAGTGCTGAATCCATCCTGTTAGATATATTACTAAGAACATTCCAAGCAGACATCCAAAATGTGAGAATATTAATTTTTCCACAAGCTAAGCTAACATCTGCATTTAAAAAATGCCTTAAGCTGTGTGTGGTGGTGCACTTTTAATCTTAGCGTTGGGGAGGCAGAGGCAGGAGGATCTCAGTGAGTTTAGGCAAGGCTTATTTACATAGCAAGTTCCAGGCCAGCTAAGCCTGTGTAGTAACTTCTTGGTCAGTGTTTCTGTTTAATGCTTTCACTAATCAAAAGATTATTCTCTTTTCTACTTAAAGCAGATCCATCCTGCCTTGTCGTTGTCAGTTGATTGGGAGTGTCATGCGGAAAGCAAGGCTAGCTCATTTCTCAGTTGTTGTATGTTTTCATCATTGAGGGCCTGATAAGATACAGCCAAGAAAACACATGTGCTAGTTTAGTTAGGAGCAGCCATGTAGAGTTGTTTACATGTGTGAAATTGATAAACTGAAAACAGTATTGTGTCCTGTGACTAACAGAGGAGGGTGATATTAACAAACTTAAGTTCATGGTGTGTCTTCCTCTTCCTTTGCTGTGACAAAACCAGTTTGCCATGACGAAAGCAAAATTAAAAGAGAAAGCATTTAATTGGGAGCTTACTTACAGTTTCAGAGGATTAGTCCATGACCATTACGGTGGGAGCATGACCCCTAGCAGGCATGGTGCTGGAGCAGTGGTTGAGAGCGTGTATGTTGCAACAACAACCATAAGGCACAGAGTGAGCTAAGTACAATGGCTTCGGCTTTTGAAACCTCAAAGCCCACTCTATAATGACACACCCCTCCAACAAGGTCACATCTCCTAATTCTGTCAACCGGAGATCAAGCATTCAGACATATCAGCCTGTGGGAGGAAAGGGAGCATAATAGGAAACATTGGACCAAAGCAAGACCGAAACCCAGCAGGGCAAACTCCCAGCTGCATCTCCATGTCTGATGTCAAAGGGCTCCTCAGACCCTACTCCTTCACCTTTGTGGACTGCAGCGCACTCCTCTCTTGGACTGCCTCCACTGTTAGTAGCTCTCTGGCATACATGCCAGGGCCCTGGCATTTCCAACATTGTGAGATCTCCGATACAACCTAGACTTTCACAGCTTCACACAGTGGCCTCTCTGGGCCTCCATGCTGGTACTCCCTGTCGCACACCTGGCCTCAACATCTTTCCTTAACAATGGAGGGAGATTTTACAGCCCTTTACTGTGTATTCCTGCTTTTAAAGCCAGAACCATGGAGCCAGTACTACCAAGTTCTGCTACTGGACTTGGGATGGGCCCTGGCCGGTTACATTTGCATAAACTTTGATTTGTCAGATTCTCTCCATGTTGAGTAAGCTTTCCTTGGCTTTAGAAGCAGAAGATTCCTTAGACATTTCCTTTTTACAAATTAGAAGCTTAGCTGAGTGGGGTCTTGCCTGAGGGCACCACTTTCTTTATTCCAGTTCGAATTGGGCCTTTTTTAAGCTTCTCATCTCTGAGCACAAGGCTTGGCTCTAACATTAAATTTCCTCATACTTTTGTTTTCTTTAGTTGTATATTTTATATTTCTTTTCTTTTCCCCACTTGTTTTTTTCCATTGTAGATCTCTACAAAGTAATCACCAATAACCACAATACACAGTCAATACTAGGTTGTCTTGAAATTTCTGCCGATGACATTAATCCAAAACTCTTTAGTTTAGCCTCAGCAGATTCAAGACAGGGGCAAAACCCAACCACATTATTTGTCAAAATAGCACAAGAATAGTCTCTGAGCCACATGCTTAATATCCTTCCTGCCTGAAACATCATGAGCTGATGTTCCACAGTCCACATTGGTTTTACCACTACTGTTTCCAAACTCCTCCTGGGTTGGCCCATTAAGTCCCATGTACAGCATTCAACCTTGATTTCCTCATCCCAAACCCAGCGTGATCAAGCCTGTCACAGCAATATACCGCTCTCTGTTACCCCCTTCCATCTTAGTTACTGTTCTGTTGCTGTGAAGAAACGTGGTACCTGGGGCAGCTTATGCGAGAGCTTAAGCACTTAGGGCTTGCTTACAGTTGTCAGGGATTATAGCAGGAGGCAGCCTTGGTCCTGGGGCAGTAGCTGGAAGCTTCCACACTGAGTCAACCACCGCAAGGGAGAGAGAGCACAAACTGGGCCAGCCTAAAGCCACCCCAGTGACACAGCTGCTCCAAGGCCACACCCCCGAACTCTTCCCAAGCAGCCCCACCATCCGGGGACCAGAGATTCAAACACATGAGCCTCTGGGGGCCATTCTCATCCAAATCAACTTGTGGTACAACTAAAATATAACTTCATTGGCTATGATTCACTGTCCATCTTTATCTTGGCTTTATTATCGTTATTTTTTTTTTTTGTGGTTTAGTAATCATAAATGCATTTTTTGTTTTGTTTAATAAAAATGTTTATTTTTGTTTTTAATAAAAAAATTTTTTTTTCATTTCCCTCTGTGTTATGTTGTGTTATATTTAGACCTTGCTGAAGAACAAAACTTCGTTTTTTTGCTTTTGGAGCCAGTTAATTTGTTGAAATACTTTACAGTTTGTTTGTTTGTTTGTTTGTTTGTTTTTAAAGTTTCCTTTCTATTTTCGGGTTTAAGGTGAGTTCTGTCTGGAGACTGATCTTAAATTTGTGAACTCTAGTGATTCCTCTGCCTCAGCTTCCCAAGTAGCTGGGACTATAGTTATTTTATTTACCATGCCAGCTTATAAAGTATAATAGCGTAGGGTGAAAGTGGTTTTGCTTTCATATCTCTAATTTAAAAACAAACAAACAAACAAAAAACCAACAACTTAGAAGATATAGACAGTGAACAGCTTCTGTAGCCAGCTGGATTCCTTACCCTGAGGCTTTCTACCTGCCTCAGTTTTCTGAGTATTTATGCTGTCTGCCATCAGAGTAAGGAGCACTGATGTTTTTGTTTTGATTTGCTTGTTTGCTTGTGGTCTGGGGATTGAAGCCAGGGACCCACACTAGACAAGCCTTTACCACTCCTGCTTCTCCCAGCCTGAAGCTAGAGCAGCTACAGTGTGCTGCTTTGAGGCCAAGACAGTCATTGCCACATTGTTAATGGCGACAGAAAAGAGGAGAGGGTTCAGATAGGCAAATGATAAATAAAAAATTATCTCCGTCTTCTGTTACTGAATAGAGTGGTGATGAGAAAGGACTCTCTGTATGTCTACCTGAATGTGTGTATAAGAACCATGGGTGTGCAGTACCTACAAGGCCCATAAGAGGTTACCAGATACTCTGGGACTCGAGTTAACGGTGGTTGTGAGCTGTCATGTGGATGCTGGGAATCAAGCCTGGGTCATCTGCAAGAAAGCCAGTGCTCTTAACCTCTGAGCTCTCTCTCCAACCACAAACTCTGGAATTACAAATTGGATACAAAGCATTGGAGACATTCAGACAAATCAGTGACAGTAAGACCCTGATGGCATGAAGCCCTTGTTGCTTTGCCAGCCTTTTCTGTTGTGGCTCTTCCAGACCCTTCATAATGGTATACAAAAAATTGTCAGTTTGTAATAGTATGTTAGCTTACTTTGAAGCATACTCTGGGTGCAGGTCAGTCAGTAATTCTATCTATCTATCTATCTATCTATCTATCTATCTATCTATTTATTTATTTATTTATTTATTTATTTACTTGCATACTTACTTTTTATTTATTTATTTATTTATTTATTTATTTATTTATTTATTTACTTGCATGCTTACTTACTTACTTAATTATTTTTGAGGCAGGGTTTCTCTGTGTAGGCTTGGCTGTCCTGGACTCGATTTGTAGACCAGGCTGGCTTCAAACTCAGAACGGTCCGCCTTTGCCTCCCAGAATACTGGAATTACAGGTGTGCACCACTGTGCCTGGCTCAGTCAGTATTTTTACCAATATTTGTGTGCTATGTTTCACTTGGTAATTGATTGTTTAGTTTGTTTCTGAGACAGGATCTCACTCTGTAATTTTGGCTGTCCTAGAACTCACTATTTAGACCATTGCTAAATAGTGCCTCCCATTGCTGGGATTAAAGGCATGCACCATTCTACCTAGCTATTTTGCTTTTTTTTTTTTTTTTAATTGATTGCTCTTTAAAAATATTTTCAATGTAAGATGTAGAAATGTGTACTTACAGAGACTTTTGCCACTTCATGAAACTAAACTGATACTCATTAACTAAATACTTCAGGAGAATGTCCATGGGACAAAGCCCCATCATTTGGAATCAGAATCTGTTTATATCTGGTTATACTTCATTTAAATGCCCATGCAGTGAACTCACGCATATTTTAACTGTATAGAAAATTAACTTTGTATTAGAAGAAAAACTCCATTTTTTCCTCATAGCATTTTACAAAACTTTATTCTAAACATATCAGATGTTTGAGATTTTTAGAAGGTTTAAATCAAAGTCTTTTGAAGTATGTAAGCCAGGTGTGGTGGCATGTGCCTTTAATCCCAGCACTTAGGAAGCAGAGGCAAACAAGTTCTGTGATTTCTAGGACAGCCTGGTCTACATAGTGAATTAAAGGGCAGCCTGAACTGTGTAACAAGACCTTCTGTCAAAAAAGCCAAAAAGTATAACAGATGTGCAATCTTTAAAACATTAAGGGCACCTATTTTTAAATAGACTAACTATAGTAAATTCTTATGCCCAAAACCCCACCTTAATAATTTATGTTTTAGTAGTAAAAAATATAGCTTATTTTCTGTTTTTCTAACCTTGTTAAGAATCTTTCCATCCTCATAAAGTATTTTTTTCTTAGTTCTTAGTTACTGGCTGTTTAAAAATCATTAGCTGAGACCATTGAAATGGCTCAGGGGGTAGAGCCATTGGCTGTCAAGCTTGCCAGCTTGATGTGTGACCCCAGGGGTGTACTAAGTAAAAGGAGAGGACACACTCCTACAGCTTGTCCTCTGGCCTCTGTTTGCTGTGTGTGTGCATGTGCTCAAAAGAACACACTAGTTCATTAATTCACTAATTAAAAAATAAAGTCATGAAGCTAATTCTTAAGGACTGAAAAATCTAGAAATATTTTTAGAGGCTTCACACACATTCCTAGCCAACTTGAAACACCATAAAAAATACTGAGATTTCTTCCAGTGCAGTTTATATTGTTGAAATTTTCATGTATCTTGAGTGCTATATAAAATTTTAAAAAGCCTTAATGTTGTATACCTTTCTTTGTAACAGAGCTGGTAGGACAGGGTTTTCTTTTTATTTTAGTAGTAATAATAGCAGTTTATTTTGCATATGTAAATCACATTCTAATAGAGACAGTTTGAAATAATTGCCACAGTTGCCTTAGGAAGTAGTTCCTGTTTTAGGGAATCTTATGAAAGAAATGGGAGATAGAAAGACCTGGAGAGGACAGGAGATCCACAAGGAGAGAAACAGAACCAAAAAAGCTGGGCACGGGTCATTTCTGAGACTGATACTCCAACCAAGAACCATTCATGGAGATAACCTAGAACCCCTGCACAGATGTAGCCCATGGTAGTTCAGTATCCAAATGGGTTCCATAGTAATGGGAACAGGGACTGTCTCTGACATGAACTGATTGGCCTGCTCTTTGATCACCTCCCCCTCAAGGGGGTGCAGCCTTACCAGGCCACAGAAGAAGACAATGTAAACCACTCCTGATGAGACCTGATAGACTAGGGTCAGAAGGAATGGAAGGAGGACCTCCCCTATCAGTGGACTTGGGGAGTGGCATGGGTGGAGATGAGGGAGGGAGGGTGGAATTGGGAAGGGAGGAGGGGGGAGCTACAGGTGGGATATAAAACTGAATAAACTGTAATTAATTTAAAAAAAGAACACTGAAACCTAGGTTGAGTTATTTATCTAAGGGTATAGGCTGGTGACTGGAGAGATTCTACTTGACCTTCCTCATTTTTTCTAAATAATTAATGTGATAGAGTTCATAATAATTATATAGTAGAGTTTTATATATATATATATATTTTGATATATAGCTTTATAGATAGTTTCATGTTTAAATAGCTAGTAAAGTACTTAAAGTCTTTCTAAAAATTCTCATATATTGCATTTCAACCACAGATCCCTCTTTCTCTTCTCCTTCCAGTCCTGCTCACACACATGTCTTCTACCAAGATCCACTCTACCATTTCCCTTCAGAAAAGGGCAGGCTCCCAGGGATATCCCCCAAACATGGCTTATCAAGTTCCAGTAAGACTAGGTGCCTCCCCTCATATCAAGGCTGGATGAGTTTACCCAGTAGGAGGAAGAAGGTCCCAAGAACAGGCAAAAGAATCAGAGACAGCCCCTGCTCCCACTGTACCCTAAACTATACAACTATAACATATGCAAAGGGCCTAGGTCAAGCCTATGCAGTCTCTGTAAGCCCTATGAACCCTGGAGAGTTGATTCTGTGGGTCATTTTCTCCTGGTGTCTTTGACCCCTCTGGCTCCCTGAGCTCCACCTAGTGTTTGGCTGTGCGTCTCTGCACTGTTCTCATCAGTTATTTGATAATCTCTCTGATGGAGATTATGGTAGGCTCCAGCCTATAAGTATAGCATAGTATCATTATTATTAACTTTTTTTTTTCTTGTTATGTTTGGTTCTGTTCTAGGACTCTGGGTTCTCCAGCCTCTGGTTCCTGGCACTGCAGGCAGTGTCAGGCTTGAGCTCCCTCTCTTGGTATGGGTCTCAAGTTGGACCAGTCATTGGTTGGCACTTTGACATTTCTGTGCCGGACTTTTCTCATTTTAAAAGTCTCTTTTCTTTTTTTCTTTTTTTCCCTTCCTTTCTTCTTTCTTCCTTCCTTCCTTCCTTCATTCCTTCCTTCCTTCCTTCCTTCTTTCCTTCCCTCTTTCTTTCTTTTGTCTTTTTTCTTTCTTTCTTCTTTCTTACCATGAGTGGATACTAATGGATAATTTTCTTGACATTACATATCTTTTCTTATAAAATTCCTGTGTTAGTAGCAGTGTCAAGTTCCATTTTGTCACCTAGTTCAGCCATTTTTTGAACCCATCTCAGTGGAGGGCAGCATCAAATGAAGACTGCAGCGTAGGAAAACATCAGTGGGGAGCTTTCTAAAAAAAAGCTCCTTCTTCTTAAAGTGGTCCCTGCATGACAGACTGATACCCAACAGAGGACTTACCGTTAGAATGGCAGTGCCTGGGTAGAAAGTGGCCAGCAATTGCATCATAAACATAATGGAGGTGCTGGGAACCAGTGTGCCACAGAGGATCTCATGTATTCTTCTAAACAGGATAGGTATGCAGATGGATCACAGTAACTTTCTATAACTATTTAAGGCGGCAATCACTTTCCATGATGGAAAAACTAAACTAAAATGGTTTGCACTCAGTCTTCAGCAAAGCTCAGGGAAGTAGGACTCCTTCATTTCACACACTCCCTTCTCTAACTGTAAGGCTTAGACGCATAGTAGGTGCTGATTTTTCCCCCTTATGGAATCATGGGTAGTTTCATCACAGCTCATCTCTTTCTGTTTGTTTCATATAGGGCTGATAGTTCAGGACCATTCAGACCCCATGTTCAGTTCATATGCCTATAAATCCCACTACCTACTGAATGAATCAAACCGTGCTGAGTTGATGAAATTACCTATGATTCCTTCTTCGTCAGCTTCCAAAAAGAAATGTGAGAAAGGTAATAATTAAAATAGTTTATCTCTTGTTTTTATTTTTGCGTTTTTCTTTTCTCTCTTTGAGTGAAGGGGCGGGGGTTGTATGCCTGTCAAGTACTGCCTGTTGCTTTCAGTAGATTCTGCCTTGGTGGTTATGACTGTCTTCATATAACTACAAAATTATCAAAAAGGGCTTAAAATAATTCTATCATCATAATTTTTTATTTTTCTCCTTGAGTCGATTTTTACACACTGAAACATGTAGGGTTTTTTTTTTTTTTTGTAATATAAAGATTAGAATTTTATTTAACATAAAAGACTAAGGGCTATTTCTCATTTGCTTGATGTAAAACTTTCATTCATATTAGACTAGAATAGTCATGACATAGTTTGTCATCACATATAAGCTAAATAACAAGAAAGGCTATTTAGAAAAGAAAGCCAAGGCAACAGATACTGGGAAAGATTGTTTCTAGAACATATTCTATTACTGTATTACTTAAATCTATAGTTAAGATGCTGTGAACACAAGCGTCCTTCTCATAGGAGGGGGCTGGGGTTGAGGGCACACCCCAGATACTAGCAGTTGAAAGGTAGTCCAGTCAGAGTACTGATGGATAGTTTATTCTTTAAAAGATGAACTGAATGTATTCTCCCAATCAGATGTCATTCATGAAAGAAAACCATCTGTAAGTAACTTGCCAAAGCCTGCTTGTAATAAGGGCATAGTGACTTCATGTTTGATTTGGAGGATTATTATCCCAGAGGAAACATCAATGATTTTGGAAGGTATGGATAATACCTTCCAATGTATTAGCCACATGTTTGGATAATACATTTGCTTAATATGATTCAAGTTCAGAACTGACAAATCATCACTCATACCTAATGTACCATGTATTATTAAAAATAGGTTTTTGTTAGTATTTGTTATTTATGCTGCCAGTTTGATCTGTCCCAGTGGCAACTAATAACTGAAAGGATGATACCAGCAAGGTGAGTAGAGCCAACCAGGAATGTTGAGAGAGGACTGGGCTGTGTTTGGGTTGTGTGCTTTCTGCTGAGGGCAGCCTGCCTTGCCTTATTAGTGATGCCATAGCTTCCAGAAGGTAGGCAGGGGTCCACATTACTCTTCCACAAGATAGAATTAGTCTGTCAGTACATTTGTAAAATTAGATTAACTCAGTTGTTGTTTTGTTTCCAGAATTCAATATTAACCTTGACATCAATTGAAATTATTTTGAGCCCTCTTCTTAGCTTGAATGATAAATTTCCTCTTATATCTGGAAAACAGTTTTGCTTTTTTTGTTTTGGCTTTTTGGTTTATTTGCATAGCACCAAGGTAGAGTGTTCATGTTTTTGTTTTGTTTTGTTTTGTTTTTCTATCTCCTTATATATTTTGAACATCTCTATCATGATAGTTTTCACTGATCCTAGGTCTGTATTTCCTCTGAAATAAGACTGAAAATTTAGGACCATTTACATTAACACTAAACATGACTAGCCTTTTCCACAGTGGTGTTAACTGTCACGTGTCCTCTGAGGCTGTCTGCAAGGCACACCTCTTTCTTGGTCATTCCTTTCCAATAGACTTCAAACATCTAAGCAGAGCCTGGTGGTGGTGGTCACCCCTTCAGTCCTGGTACTCAAGAGGCAGGGGCAGGCAGATCTCTGTGATTTCGAGGCCAGCCTGGTCTACAAAGCTAGTTCCAGGATAGCCAAGGCCACACAAAGAAACCCTGTCTTGAAAAACAAACAACAACACACCCAAAACAAAAACATCCAAGCAGCTGGAAAATTGAATCAATTAATTCCTAATGATACGTGTAGTCTAAGGGGAAAAAGGCTAATGACTAAGTCCAGGTTGGCAGAGGAAATACAGTTCTTTGGTCCATCACTGGTTGTATGTAGGGTTTGTTTTGTTTTGTTTTATTTTGTTTTCATGTAGCAGTTAGATATTTTAAAGTGCAGGAAGACAAGAGTTCTGGAAATCTTTAAAAGCCTGGAGCATGTAATTTGATAGAGACTCTGAATCTTTTGCCTGTGAGACTTTAAATCTGTTTACTTGTTGGTTGTCTGACTTGTCAATGGGAATGCATTCATTTGTCTCAGTGGTTAACTTTTCTTTTACTTGTTAATATTCATACTAGGAATACTGAACTCTGCCCCCTCCCATTTTTATTTGTTTTCATTTAAAGCATTCTGTTTGTTGCACCTGTTTTGGTTTTAAAAAGAGAAGGATTAGTAGGAACATAAAAGGACATGCTTGCCTGTAGTACTTCATTCTTCACTGAGAATTATGTAGTTTTGTGCTATAAAGCAGTGGTTCTCAAAACTGAGTCAGAAAAGACATACAAAGAAAAATTTAAGATATTTTTTGGAAAATTAAAAAGTTATATATTCATATAATATAGGGCTCTATGAGTTTATATTTGGCTGTGACTTACCATTCAGCATGATGATACTTGCTTTGCTTTTGGATCTTAGTCTCTAGCAGTTCTGTATTTCTTTGGTCAGTACAGATAGGAGAGCTGGGCATGGTGGTGCACACTTACAATCCAGCACTTGAGAGACAGGCAGAAGGATCACCACTGGGAGGTGGGAGCTACATAGTGAGATAGAGTCCATCTCAAAAAAAAAAGAGGAAAATTCTTACTTTGGAAAGTCAGGTTTATTTTTGGTCGGTGTGATTTTGAAAGTGTGGGTCATAATTAGGAAAAAGGAGGAGGACCCCTGGTGATGAAACAGTTACAGACCACTGCTATATAGCGTGTTTTCTTGAGAAGTAATGACACTGTAAATACAAGTTTGAGAATCTGTGTTCCAGTTTTGTATTATAAGAAGAAAGTAAGAACCCATCAACTTACTGATTATTTTCATTCTTGCCTGATTTTTTTTATGAAGGGCTTTAGATAATTGTGGCAATGGATTAAAATAAAAAATGGTTATTGCTTTCTTAGCTCTGAAGAACAAAAGAAAGCTATTTGTTTGAAAACCTATTTTCAAATCTACTTGGGCTAAAAAGTTTTTGTATCTCTTGTGATATTTTATTTAGCTGACACCTCATTTCCCAGTTGCTCATATTCTAAAGGAGCACAGGGATGCTTTTGGACCTATTCAAACTCCGTATTTCTAAAAACTGGGCATTTTATTTGTTTCCTATTTCAATCCACCACTCTGGACATGGCCCAGTCCCTTTGTTTTTCCCATTTGAATAAAATCAAATGTACTTAAAAGATAACTTTCTCCTTCTCTTTTCTCGTTTGCCTTTTTCCAGTTACTAAGGCTGTCTGTTTGTTTCAAGGTGGAAGATTGCTCTGCTGTGAATCGTGCCCTGCTTCTTTCCATCCAGAATGCCTGAGCATAAACATGCCAGAAGGCTGCTGGAATTGCAACGACTGTAAAGCTGGCAAGAAACTGCATTACAAACAGATTGTTTGGGTCAAGTTGGGAAATTACAGGCAAGTTTTCCAAGGACAAATAGGAAAGGATACTGTTCCAAACAGGTTCCTAATCTGCGTGTAGTATATTTGTACACAGGCAGAAAGACAGGCTCGGCTCCCTGGACAAAAGATTTGGTTTGGGTTTTTAGGGGATTCGAAAGGTTATGTTGCCCTTGGATTTTTGTTTTTGCTTGACTTTTTCTTTGCGAGTGCGTTTTTTTATTTTTGTTCTTAGGTTCTGAGAATTATTTCATACTAGTGAATTATGTGCTACTAAATTTTGGAATGAAAGGATTTACATGGAGAGTGGAGATTATGTTTTCTTTGTTTTTAGTTTTATACTGATTTTTAATTTCTTTTTCTAAACATTTCTTTACTTACTCTGCGTATGTATGTTTTGCCAGCCCATATGTCTATGTATCATGTATGTACTTGTCTGTGGAAGCTGTGTGTGTACATATCATGTGTGTGCTTGTCTGTGGGAGCCAGAGAGAGGGCATTAGATCCCCTGAGACCCAGTTACAGGCAATTGTAAACCGCCATGAGTGCTAGAAACTGAACATAGGTCTTCTGGAAGAGCAATAAATGCTCTCAGCAACCTCTCCATTCCCTTGATTTCTAGTTTCTAATGAGATCAAGAGTTATCTTATCAAAATAGATCATTTGACTTGATATTGTTTGTTTGTTTGTTTGTTTGTTTGTTTGTTTTTCTGAGATAGTGTTTTTCTGTGTAACAGCCCTGGAACTTGCTTTGTAGACCAGGCTGGCATCAAACTAACAAATATCCGCCTGCCTCTGCCTGTGTGCTGGGATTGAAGGTGTGCGCCACCATGTGGTCAGTTCGATTCTAAACCAGGCTTGTTTTGTTCCAGTAGTCCTAAGCTATGTGCAAAAAGAATGCTTTTTTATTTACTGATTTTTATTTTATGTGTATGGGTGTTTTGCCTGTACTGTGTGCCCAGGGAAGCCAGAAGAGGGAGTCAGGTTCCCTGGAACTAGAGTTAGAGATGGCTGTGGGCACATAGGTGCTGGGAATCTAACTTGAGTTTTTTGGAAAAGCAGCCAGTGCTCTTAGCTGCCAAGGCACCTCCCCAGGCCCTCCGTTAAGACTACTAATAAGCCTCTACTGAACAGTTGTATTGATATTTGTTGTTGTTATTGTGAGACAGGGTCTCACTGTGCAACTCTGTCTGGCCTGGCCAGACACTGCCTCCAGAGTACTGATATTAAAGGCACTTAACCACCACACTCAGCTTGACTTTTTTTTTTTAAGACAGGGTCTTACTATATAACTCTGCCTGGCCTCAAACTTGGTGTGTAGACAAGGCTGACTTCAAACTCCCAGAGCTCCACCTGCCTCTGCCTCCGAGTGCTGGGATTAAAGGTGTGCACTGCTGTATCAGGCCTTGATAACACACTAGAACTATAAAGAAAATACGTTTCCAGATAATTGAAGTATACTGTAAATGTTGTGTCTAAACACTGCTCCTGGCTTTGTTGATGTAGTTTGTATGGTTTGTTTGTTTTTCAAACGGGAGTTAGAGAGATAGATGGTTCAGCAGTCATAAGAGCACAGACTGCTTTTTCCGAGGATCCAGGTTCAATTTCCAGCACTCCTGGAACCTCAACTCCTGGGCCCCTGACGCACTTTTCTGACCACCATAGATACCTGGCACTCACAAAAGGCACATACATACATGTGGGCAAAACACTCCTACACCTAAAAACAAATCTTAACAAATTATTGCAGGTGTGCGCACAGGTGTGTGCCACAGCGTGCATGCGGAGTTTAAAGGACAGCTTGGAAGGGGTCAGGCTCTTTCTACCTGTGGGTCCCAGGGATTAGACCCAGGTTGTTGTGATGTCTTACTCTCCTCCAGCCAAGTGTGTGTGTGTGTGTGTGTGTGTGTGTGTGTGTGTGTGTGTGTGTGTGTGTGT